ACAACCCCCTCCCCAATGCCCCCCAAGGCCAGCCACAAAGAAGCCATGGGTAAGCGTGTCTGCCGGAGAGGCGCGCAGGCAGCTCTCTGCCCCAGGGAAGGCAGCAAGCCCTCGGCAGGGCCAGGAAGGGAAGGCATTCACCAGCCTGTGGCGTGGGACAAGGGTCAGGGCCGAGCTCCACAGCACCCTGCGCTGCATCCCCCTGCACTCCCCGAGGCTGGCACACCTGAAAGTCGAGTCCCACTCCTGCAGCACGGCGTGCACCACCTCCTCGTTCTCCTCCTGGTGCAGCGAGCAGGTGGAGTAGACCAGGCGCCGGAGAGCCGGGAACCTCAGGGCATGGCTCAAGACCTTGCGCTGGAAGCCGGCCAGCGCCTCCAGCCGCTCAGCACTTGGGGCAGCCTCCTCCCTTGGCACCCGGTTCACCATCCCTGCAGGGAGAGCAGCTGTCGCCCGGGGGTCCATGCACCCAGAGCTCAGCTCCAGGTGGGGCAGCCGGAGCCCCACACGTTACCTGAGCCGCTGCAGGACGGGTCGAGGAGGATATAGGTCACCTTGCTGTATTTGGGGTCTCTGGGATCCACAGTCAGGAAGTCCTGCTGGGCCAGCTGGAAGCTGGTGACCCCAGCCCGCATCAGCATGGTGTTCATGGTGGCCAGGCGCTTGGTGTCCACATCAAAGGCAAAGATCTGGCTGAAGGCAGAGCGCAGCACCCAAGAGAGGCATGAACATCCCACCCAGCCCCAGGAACTGCGCCGATGGCAGCCAGCTGCCGCAGCAGCTCCTAACACTGGTTGTCTGCCGGGCAGGCAGAGCTCAGGAGCTGCTCCCATGGGCAGGAGTACTGAGCAGGGCAGAGAGCAAGGTTAGGGGCTGGGAAGGGAACCCCCACATGCCTTCACTTCCCCTCAGACCCTTCCAATGGCCCAGCACTATCAGAGCCACCGGCCCACCTAGGGAGAAGCAGGCATCAGCCTGAGTTAGCGGAGGGGCAGGGTGACAGGCTGCAGCTCTTCCTGCCACCTTCTTGTGCCCTCTGTGGGTTCAGGGGGACCAGGGCCACCTGCATCCCTACCCCCCGTCCCCAGCACACAAACCTGCACTCACCCCTTGTTCTTCAGGATGGCAGCCAGGTGGCTGGTCTTGTTCCCAGGAGCAGCGCAGGCATCAATGACATGGGAGCCGGCAGCAGGGCCAAGGAGGAAGGCAGGGAGGCAGCTGGCCTGCAAGAGGGCAAATGCCCGTGAGAAGTGCAGGCAGCAAGTACCCCTGGCCCCTCCTTGGGGCACAGCTGATGCTGCAGGGTCACAGAAAGCCACAGCAACACAGGGCCAAGTCCACCACAACCCTCCACCACTGGAAGCCTCTGCCTAGCCCAAAGCCCTGTGCTCCTCCCAACTGCTGGTCCCCAGCTTCTACGGAGTGTTTTTACAACTCAGTTCAGAGCAATTCATCCCATGCCTACAGGCTATGGAAGCAAAGCCGCAGGGGAACCCCACAGCTGCAGGCTGCATTCACAATTTCTGCTTAGACTTCAAGTGCTGCAGCAAAGCCAGCCCAAGCCCAGACCTTGCAATGGAGGAAGGGGCCGACCCTCCACCCATGTCAGTAGTTTTCCTGCCCCTGCAGCCTCCTGCTCCCAAGTTCCCCACCTTGTCCTGCAGAATTATGTGTCCTGAAGTGTACAGCAGGTTGTTGTGGAAGTCCGTCTGCGAAGGGAAAACCAGCAGCTCCGGGAGATGAAGATCCAACAAGAATTTCTTCCCAGAGAGGGCCCTCAGTTCCTCCACACTGCCCATGAGGCACAGGGAGGATGAACACACAGTCTGTGCCCACACTAGAGCCCAGGCTAACCCCCTTCACCCCACACCTCCTCTCCACTTCGGCACCAGGCAGCACCCAGAAAGGCAGAAAGTAAGTGGGGAGTGACAGAGACCCCAGCCTGGACACCGTGAGCACCAACACCAACAACACTTCATCCCACAGGACTTCATCCCAAGCCCTTGCCGCTTGCTGGATAAGATGGGATGGCAGAAAGAAACACTTACCTGGATGCCTTGCCCAGGTAGGAATAGCCCTGGCGCTTGAAGAAGTCAATCACATCGTCCACAGAAGTCTTCAGGGTGTTGACTCGGACGTAGCGCGGTACTTGGGAGGCTGGGGGAGCCGGATTGGTCAGACACAACCCACCACTGCCACCAGCACAGGGAGACCACCCGGCCCCGAGGCCCACTCACCTCCAGGGCTTGCTGTCTGAGCCGGGACCAGGAGGTCCTCGTTGCGGCTCACCTTCTGCTGCACCTTCAGGCGGGCCAGCTCG